TTTTGGCAATCAGCTGATAGTGTTTTTACTTATGAAACTGTACGATGGTCGCAACTCTGCATATACAAACAGTTTGAATACCGCAGTATAACAGTTTCCAAACATTGTATTGATACGTTTTGGAAGCCAGCCAATATTTCATTTGGCACTTATAAGCAAATGCATCTAGCGAATTCAGTTTTATATACTTGTATAACAGTTTATAAACTTGTATAACAGTGAATATAAAATAACATGATTTCGCGTTGAAAAAAATAAAAATTACTAATTTGAGTTTTTATTGCCAAAATAGATGAAAAGTAGGCTATTCGGAACGTGGTTCACCTGAATTCCGGCAGTTCTGTAAACAAACAAAAAAAAACATAGCTGCTGAAGTGGCGGTCCTTTGCGGCAGCGTAGACTAGTTTATCGTGAAAACTAGAAACTTGCAATTTTTTTAAAGCTTAATTTGAAATTATCAAAAACAATTTTTCGCGTTGACAAAAAAGAAAGTAAAGACCTTTTCTCTTCAAGTGATAAGGAAGTAAGAGAAGTGAATTCATTTCATACATACTTTCATAGCTGTACATACGTGAAACGTAAGGTAAATTACCCAACAAAGCAAAAGTCCCTCAACAGCTGCATATTTCTGAAGTGACAAATGAATACTTTAATACTTTAATTAAAAAAAAAGTAAACATGAATAATTTCTTTCTTTTTTTTGAATCGAAGTTTAGAGTCATACGCCCTGCACTTTATGCAGCTAAATTTTGTTTATTTTTTCTTCCTAATTATTTTTCATATCTGTATAAACAAGTTTAGATATAAATTTCTAGTCGTTATTGTTTTTATACTGGCACAAAGTGCTGGCTCATAACTTGGATCATATATGACTCCTAAAAGATTCATATAAGAGTAAAAAAATGTTTGTTTTTGAAACTCATATTTCTTACTTACCTAGGACTCCTTGCCGACTCATATATTCTGAGCGCTCAGAATATGTTTGCGGGGATTAGTTAAAACTTCAATACATATATATGTACTACCTACTAGTACGTTGGTAATCGATAAAACTGTCGCAATTCCTGACGTATTTAGTTGCAATTGTGCAACTGCTATTACATGAATGCTGCAATATATGAACATATGTATATATGTATGCGCAAAGGTTTATATATAAATATGCAACAGTATTTGAAATGAATTCCTGCTAACATGGCTCTAAAGTAAGTTCATTAAGAGAGTTGAAGAATAAAGCCAATAAGAGTCACAGAACAGCATACAAGGAGCTCCGAAAGTAGGCATTTATGAGGCCAATAAGAGTCATTTAAGAGCTTCAAAAAGAGTCCAAAATGAGCCGTATATGAGGCCAATAAGAGTCCAATATGACTCATATTGAGGCTCATTTGATGTATGAATTTAAGCTCATATAGGACGACCTTCGCAGTAAGGGAAACACCCTCATTTCGGACTCTTAAATGAGCTCATAATGAGCACAAAGGCTCCGAAATGGGACTCCTTAAAGACTCATTTATGACTCCAAATGTTTGCTGGGATTATTCATCTTAGTACTGCTATGGAAGTATTGGGTTTAATAGCTCAAATATTTGTTGTTTGCTCTTCTCGTTTGCCCAGATATATGTATGTACTAGTGTATGTTGTTTAACGGTATTGAAACTTATGCTCGATTTGTTTCGGAAAGCACCCGCACAATACAGCCTACGCCACCTTTAGCAAATGCTTTTTCATGCCACTGCAACAAATGCCCGCTGGAACCTTCAGATGGTATCTCGAAGCCGCGATAAATGTACTTCATTAACACATCTAATAAATCGTTTTGCTCGAGTGCTTTCACAGCCTGATCCATTTGTGACGATTTGATAGAGAGCAAGACGCGTAGCGTTATATTCAATGCATTGTCCTGCATAGTAACGGGTAAGAATATAAGATTATTTATTACTTTTATTTATATACATATGTTAAGATGCATACCTTTACTACCTGATGTTTGCAGCGTAAGGGTGCATTCTGTAAAACATTGACCAAAGCTTCAACTGACTTGCCCTGTGTGAGAAGTGTTGTTATTTCGTTCTCATCTGGGCCTACTACCGCTGATATGGCATCCGCTTCATCCTCCTTAAAGTTGTCCTCATTGTATTGATCCACATCGATTTTGCGGAAAGCTGAACTAGAGGTATTTTTCGCCATATCTTCCTTTGTTAGTCGAAAAAGAATAATCTTAAATAGGTATTGTAAAATTCAGGAATTCCTAGGCACAATCCAAAAAAGTGCAAAAAATGATTCACCCAAAGAACACGGCCAAGGAAAAACGCTTATCAAAATTGTCAAACTTTGACATTTGTTAACCAAAATCCAAAGCCAACAGAGGTGTATTTAGTGTCAAATTTGTTTATTGTGTTATACTAGGTTCACATATAAGTAGATTAGCCTCATTTTCTGTAATTATAACAAGAGATTAGCCATATAAAATTCGTCCCTTGTTAATCTGTAATTATTAAATAATCTCAGATTTAACCGATAACTTTTCGGTGTCCATCCTAGTTTTATCGATTGTTTTTGCGAAAAAGAGGAGAAATGCCAAATGTAAAAGTAAACAAAAATGGACGCTAGCAAGGAAAAGAGGTTTGTAAAGGTATTTTTAAAAAAATGTTAAGTTAATATATATTTATATTGCTTATTATAGCAGAAAAATGTGATCACGGTGGCACAGAGAAGAAACATAACATTTCCTTGAGATGTGAGAATAACAAGCACAACAAATTGACGGCTAATAATCTCAGATTTGTCTGTGTAAACGGGGTGATTAAAACACGAGCTTTGATTGAGAAAATATTGATATGTGAACATACTTTTACGATTATCCTTGAACCCTCGTCCGGATTTCCCAAATCCTCCTGTTCGTATCGCTGGATTGTTAAATAAAGGCAAACGATGACCAAATGGTAGTACAATTAACTTTATTGTACAACAAACAATTTACAATACTTGCTAATACAGTAAAAACACTACAATACTTGTTAAAGCAATAACAGCGCTTAACTAAATTTGGTAACACAATTAAACTTGTAGCTTGCTTATTCGCAACTCGCTTCTCTGCTTACTTTACTTATAGCTTGCTGACTTGTAACTAACTGCCATCCCTAAATTGGCGCGTCAAGCGCCAAGCAACTGT